GCAAAGTATCAATATTCTTGCAGCGCATTGCAGTGCTGGGGGCGGGGAAACGTTACACTTCTTGTGCAATAACGGCTTTAGGATGGGGATGCTCGAAGTAATTAATTTTAGTAGAGCTCATGTGGGTTTTAGCCAAAGCTTCAACTCCAACCCTTCACGCTTGAGGGTTTAGGGTTTAGGGCTTGGTCCTCCTGGCCCGCAGCCTAACCCCTGAACCCCTAAACCCTGCTTAGTCCAAACCCTTCAACTGAGCCCTAAAGCCGCTCCACCCTCAATCCTAGATCTCCCTAGCAAAACATGGAGGGGCGGGCTACTGACAACCTACTTGGTTTAGGGTTCAGGGCTCAGGATTTAGGGTTTAGGGTCTTATAGCTGTCCTTACAATCCAATTATATCTCTCATAAGTCCTAAAATATGGTTGCGATTGGGCTATACATACAGTGATAAGTAACTCGCCCTCCAAGGGCCCTTGTCCAGAGTCCCTAGAATGCTCGTGTCCCCTACATGCCTACATACCCCCATATTACGCAAGCCCTATACCCCCGTTGAAGCCTTAAACCTATAGCCTAAAGTTTCAACCCTATAGCGGTTGCGTAAACAACCTGAGTCTTAAACCCTAATTCAGCTCCACCCCCCCAAATGTCTTTTCAATTCGAAATTATCCCCATTTCCGAAACCCTAAACCCCGTAAAACCTTGAACCCTAATCCCTAAACCCCCAACCCTAAACCCCAAGCCCTAAACCTTATGAGCCCTCAACCCTTCTCTGCAAGGCCGCGCGGGCGGCGCGGGCTTGCAGCGACTGGAAGATTCGCGCTGAGCGCCTGGAGGAGCTCACATTAGCCATAATCTAAACTCCTTAGAGGGGGTTATATAAGGGAGTATATAGGGTTTAGGGTTTAGGTATAGGGGGTATAGGGTTTAGGGTTTACGTAGGGTTTAGGGTTATAGAGGGTTATATAAGGGAGTATATAGGGGACTACTATAGGGGTTATAAAGGGGATACTGGGAGTTTAGACTATGGCTCACCCAGTTGGAGTCAGGGGTATAGGATATAAGGTTTTTGGTTTTGGGTATAGAGTTTGGGGTTGAGGGTTATGGGGTTTAGGGTTACAGGGTTAGGGGGTATAGGGTTTAGGATTCAGGGTCCAAGGTTTTTGGCTTAAGATTTTGGAGTTTAGGGTTATAGGGTTATGGGGTTGTATGAGCTATGCAGTAAAGTTAGGTTGGGGGGTCCTACAGGGGGATGTAAAGGGGGGCGGGGTAAACATTTTGATATAAGGAATATACTATCACATTAGTCCAGCTTATATATGGATTCATATATAGATGTAGAATTTGGGGTGTTAAGGGTAAAAGGTGCAGGGTTTAGGGTTTAAGGTTAAGAGTGCTTAGGGTTGAGCGTTCAGGGTTAAGTGTGTAGTGTTGAGGGTTTTATGATGTTCGTATATGGGTGAGGGTTATCGCAAACATTGGACCCAACTCTGGGTTAAGGATGTCAGGTTTACGTACAGCCTACAGCCGTTGATGGACGAACATCCTGCATCGGCCACATTTAATGCATTTTGCTTCGCGTGTTTCAGGGTCAGGGTTTCTGTTGAGGGTCACCTACGGTTGTAATTGTAAGAGAGAGAGAGAGAGAGAGAGTCGCAGACAAAAGACAGACAAGAGAGAGAGAGAGAGAGAGAGAGAGGGGGGGGGGGAGGNNAGAGAGAAAAACAAATGTTCAGGAGGTATTGTGGCAAGGCTTTTGCGGTAATTTGGGATTCAGCCTGTTCTGGTGATATGCTGTGTTCAAAATGCCGGTATCCCTTGCAACGACGGTGATTCCATCCGAGTTTCATGGTGGGAGGGAGCGCGGTCCTAGTTTCTTTGTAGAATTGCGTTAATAAGGTCCCGAAATTGTTACTTACCTTTTGGCTTCAGATTCCTT